AAATATTTCTTTAAATAATGAATGTGTCCTGCCACAGATTCAAATGCAGCAATAAAGATTTTTATCTTCATACAGGGAGCACCGGAAGTCTTGCATAGTGTGGAATGTAATGGCTCTTAAGCAAAACTAATGGTGTTTATCTATAAAGTCGCTGAAACTGAAGTACCTTTATACCTCAGAGAATCATTTGATGTGGACATTAATATGTTATTTAGTTTCACACTGTGTTAGCCTTTGTTGCTTATCTGAGTTTTTGATAGTGTTTGTTTATTATTTATTTATTTATTTATTTATTAAATTTATTTGTCCCACGTATCAAAATGGCTCTGGGTATCTTATAGTATTAAAGCATTAACAGATAAATATTTCTAAAATGATAAAAATAGAAATTGCACTCTAAATAAAATTATATTTAAAAGATGGGGACGGAGGTGGGGTTGCCTCTTAAATCATCAACCCCAGAGGTGGTCTTCAGCAGCTTCTGACAGTTCTGGAGAACCGGTAGCGGAAATTTTGAGTAGTTCGGAGAACCGACAAATACCACTTCTGACTGGCCCCGCCCCATCTATTCTCTGCCTCCTGAGTCCCAGCTGATCGGCTGGGTCTTCTTTTGTTCCCCTGCACAGGATAACAGAGCTGGAAAGCAGGTTAATGGGGTGGGGAAGAAATGGGGATTTTACAGTAACCTTCCTCTGCCATGCCCACCAAGCCACGCCCACAGAACCGGTAGTAAAAAAAAAATTGAATCCCACCATTGATCAACCCCCTCCAGTGTGATGGTCCCCTATTGGAGCCCCAAACCATCTGGCAGAGCCAAGTCTTCAGGCCCATGCCTCCCGTGACAGCCAACCTGACCTGGTTGTTAAATTATTTCCTACCACTGGAAATGCGGTTATGGTTCCAGAGGCTCTAAAAATATCTTCTAAATCAGCCACAATGTTTGCATATAGTCACTGTCAGAAACAAAATGAATCACATTAAGGGTTCCTTTAACAAGGGTGAGTCATACACTAAGTCTTACCCAAATAAGTTGAACAATTAAAATCAGAGAAAGCATCATCTTGGTTAGCACCGATACAAGCATCATTTACGCTGGGCTCATAGATACTGCATTGTGTGATCCTTAATGTGCAGTGTACATCAATTGTACAAAACATTGAATCCTATATAATTTTATTTATTTATTCAATTTCTATAGCTGCCCGTGTCAATCCAATTGACTTGGGTGTCAAACAATATCACAATAATTAATGTCATCAAAACACCTAAAACAATAATACTCACAAATTATACATATATACAATAGAAGATTACCTTAATAATTACCTAAAAAATAACAGTGCAACCAGGTAACAGGGCCCCTAACACTTTCAAAACTCCAGGCTTGGGTATGTACACATCTTTAAAGCTTTATAAAAGGCCGACAAAGTCAGGGCCACTCTAAGTTCTGAAGGAAGAGTATCCTGTACACAAAATGTTGAACATTATATGCAAATTTTGTCAGTGTACAGATCAATTATTTGTGTGCACCTAATATAATATGTGAGCACTTGATACTGCTGAAAAGATGGTTGGGGAATTCTAACGAACAAAGTTATTAAATAGTAAGTGCCTTTGCTGTAACTCTTTGTTAGAAGCTTATATTAAATTTTACTGAACTGTCACTGAAAAATATCATTCCAGGTTGGGGATGCTTCAGAATTACTTGCCTTGCCTGCTATTAACTTTCTTCAATAACAGGAACAACAGCCTAGTCATAATGGTCCTGTAATTCATTTAATGTAATCTAGTGTATTTAGCCTTGCTGGACCAGATCAAGACCCATTTTAGTCCAGCCTTTTCTTTCCCTCAACTAGATTCATCTGTGATGTTCCCCTACAACCCGAATGTTGAACGTTACCTTTGATTCATATCCCCTATGAATTTAATCTCCCCTTAAAAGTATGCAAATTGTTCACCATTACCACATTTTTGGATGATCCCTGGTCTGTTTTTTAGAGAAGGAGAATATTTCTCTTTGTCACACCATACAGGGTTTTATATATCACTATGGTCACCTTTTGTACAAGCTGAAGAGTCACAGATATTCTGGCATTTTCTCATGAAGGAGATGTTTGACATTTGACTACCCTTTTCTGCACTTTTTATAGCTGTATCATGTGCCTTTTTCAAATAGGATAAAAGTCTGGTAGAAGAGAATATATGTAACAGGGTTGAACTATGGAGTTCTTGGTATTCCCTTTATTTGCTCCCTGTTTTTATATAGTAGCTTGGTGGGGATGCCATTTTCTTGACAGAAAGAAACCAATAACTACCAAGGACAAAACCACATCTTCACCAACACAGGCAGGGCAAGTTGAGGTATTTAAGGGTCCCCAAACTTGACAACTTTAAGTCTTGTGGACTTCAACTCCCAGAATTCTCCAGCCAGCTCTGGGAACAAACATGGAACAAACCTCATGCTTAATAGCATGAATGATATTACCTAGTTGGGTAACGAAATGCCTACAAGCAAATAACCAACTTCAGAGAACATCAAGATCCACACAACAAATACTGTATTCCAGATACAAATGCATAAGGATACTACAGAATTGACAGTTTTAATTTCAAATCCTTTCCTACACTGGAATTCAACTTTTTCACACTGTCACTAAGTCAGTATTCTCCCCCCGCCCCCTGTTAAATTATTTAGCTCAGAGATTTAAAAAGACCTTTAAAATCCTTTTTCCTTTTGTTAAAAATAACTCAAGATATTCTGCTTTTTATAGCTAATCCTTCATCACCTATCTACTGAGCATCAACTCCATGACTTTTGCAATTTCCCTGTCCACATTCATATTATATCTGGGAATTAATTAAAAAATCTGAGTAAATTAACAGGTTTTGGTATCTTATTAAGCAAAGAACACTAAAACATTAAAACTGGGGCTTGAGAGACTGAAGCCATAGTCAACTAGAGCAAAGTCATTAACTTGGATTGGAAGAAATCATAAAATAACAAAATAATAAATTGGGATTAAAAAAAGAAAATCATATGTGAGGAAGAAGAAGAAGAAAATCCGTGTCATTGCAGGAAGTTATTTAAAGAGGATTATTCCATCTCTCCCATGACAGATATTGCAGAGGACATATAGAGTGGCCTTGAAGAACAGGACCAAGAGCCACTGCTAAGGAAATTGTCAGATAAAAGGGGTTTGTTCCCAGGCCAAGAAAGTAATGTAAATAAACATCTCATACAAGGTCCTCCTTAGTTCGCATAAAGCTAAAGAGAGGAAGAGGGAAGCACATTTAGGCTTGTAAGATTCTGTTACAGTGGCTGTTACAATAAAGGTACTATTGACCTATAGGCAGTGGTGGGCTGCTGGGTGGTTGGTGGGGCTCGGGCGAGCCCCTAGCTGTGATCTCTGGCTGGGCCCTTCCATCCACCCTTGTTCGATGTTTTCCTGAATTTTGTAGTGCAGTTATCTAATGAACAAATGAAAACACAATATGTATATTGAGGAAAGGGTGTGTATTACATTTCAATATGATTGCATTGTAAAATATATATAAGATTTTTTTTTACACACAATCAGTGTGTTAGCTCCAATGTACATGAAAATTAGAACAATCTATTATATATTTCTCAAAACAAACCGCAAAAATAAAAAGATGTGGACATAATTTAAAATAGAAAAAGTGACTTGTTCAAACCTGTTTCAACCTTTCCAATCTGGTGACTCTTACCAGATTTTGTGGAAGAGAATTTTGACTTTATGGTAGCTGTCAAATTTTTGTCTGCCCAGAATTTTACAGGATTTCAAATGTTTGGTGTCCCTGGATTCTTATATCATGGAACAGGCAGAAACAAATCTTTTTTATCTAGTTTCTTTTCAATTATATGTTGATCACTTACAGCTTCTGTACATGTTGGTTTCTTTTGATCCATTTTAATTTTTTGCATTAAAAACATAATTGGTTGTGGATCACTTTAGATTTGATTCCAAATATTTTGTCACAAACATGGATGTGACTGCAATTCTTTGAAGCAGCTGCAGAAACCTAAGAAAAGAAATGTAAGCGCATTAAAGAGGAACAGAGGAGGCCATTGGAATCAAAATGGTGGCATCACTCGACCCAAGTCAAGGAATAACAAAAATAAAAATAAAAAAATCCCTCCCTTCTGGGAGTCCCTCAGACCCGGCTTTGTCATCAGCCTGGGGATCTCTGGGGATGGGTGAGATTTTGAGGTAGATCCATTGCTGATCGAATCTCTTTTGTGTATGTCTTCTTTTAATATGATTGTGTTTGACATATATCTTGTTTTTTCTACTTTCCTTTTTGCTATATGCTGCCCAAAGTCACTTCTTGTGAGATGGATGGCCAAATAACATTTATAACCAGGGGTGGGATTCTACCAGTTCGCACCTATTCGCTAGAACTGGTTGTTAACATTCTAAGCAGTTCTGAGAACCGGTTGTAAGAAGAAATTACTGGCCTAATCCTGTAAGGAAGGCAGGAAGGAAACATTCTGGTATTGCTTGCAGAAACTGCCTCTCCATTAACCCTTGTTGCATTCTTGGCAGGACTAGACTTCCTGTCTCTGGAACTTCTCTGGAGGTTTTTTTTTCCTAGCTGGTATTTTGCTTGTGTGGAGTGACCATTCAAAGTTACAATGGCACTGAAAAAAGTGACGTGATCATTTTTCACACTTATGACTGTTGCAGCTTCCCCACAGTCATGAAAGGCCAGGCGAGGAGATGCATGCCTCGATGTGAGTGATATTGAGTTTGCCATGCCCAGCCAATAACATGACCACCAAGCCATGCCCACTAACCAAGCCATGCCCACAGAACCGGTTGTTAAAAAATTTGAATCCCACCCGTTTGTAACTAAATAAACCATCCAAGGAATTGTTTTCTTTTCAATGCCATTCTTGTTTGTTCTGACAAGATCTAATAATATATCTCCACTTTTTTTAAAAAAATGCATGCAACAATTTTATTTATTTTTTCCAGTTGATCTTAAAAAAGGCCCAGGTCCAAATGCTACAAAATCGAATCTTCCAAAGCCCTGTCAGTCCGGACTTCGCCCTCCTGGTTATTCACGGTTACCGCCAGCTAAACTCACCACGTTTGGTTTTGTCAGGAGCTCCAGCGTCTCCTCAATCTCAAGCAAATCAAGTGACAGAGTCCAGAGTGAACAAAGCAAGACAGCCAATCGTAAGTCTGATTTTCACTCCCGATATATCTGTTGCAGAGAAATAAAGAAAAATACTTATTGTGTGTTAGCAGCATATTTCTGTTTGCTGTTGAATTTTATGACATATATATAATGTTTGATAAATATTTTCTAATAATAAATTACTTGTATAGGATTTTCCTCTAAAAGTTGCTGAAGAACACATCTCATAACCATTTTTGTATGCAAACATTCTATGTATGTGCACGCACGTATGCACACACAGATAAATGAACTACTTTCAAAACAGATTCAAGTACAGTAGACTTCCTGCTTCAGCATACTATGGTTAAGGGAAAAAAGTCTGTTATCTCTGTACATATAACGGCAAGAACTCTTAGCTGAACTTTCACCTCAAATCCTATTTTTTTGGTAGTAAATTTGTTTATTTGATTAAGTACAGAATAAACACATGACAATGAGTATTCTCATTATGGAATCTATATTTTCCATGAACTCAGAGCACAAGGAAGGATTGTTGGGTTTTTAAATGTCAGCTTCTCTCTTTGAAGACCAGAGTCTACGTGAACCATCTCAATTTCAAAGCAACTGTTATCACTCTTCAAGTGGTTCAAATTCAGGATGCCAGCTTGTACTAGAGGCTAGAGGCTTTTAACTGATGTAGAGTCCTAAATCTTTCAGTGTTTATGTTACTTTCAAATGAATTGCAAGAAATAAAACACGAAGTAGGCCACAATCAATCCCAAGGGCTTGCATAATAGATTTAATAATTGGTGGAATCATCCAGATCTTTTGAGTTTAGTATCTTACTAAAATACAAATAGCCAAAGTACAAATACATGCAAATGCCTCTTGGTGCCATCACACTTCTCTGATGCACACAGCAGACTATGCAGAGAAAGTTCAAGGAGTTAAGAGATCTTACACAAATTAAATGAGATTTAAATTTGTCAGGGTGGGAAACTTACGGTAGTTCTTGCTGGAGTTTTGAGAAGTTGTAGTTCGGTAATATGTCAAATGCTGTGTATAGTTAGCCCACTCAGAAATATTAATTGCTGTTTTCTAAGTTAGCCTGTATTGGTTCTTAATTAGGAGAGTGGTTGCTAGGTGCAAATTTTCTCAGTTGCTTTTTTGCTTTCTAACCTGTTTGTCACTATTAATTAATTGTGTTAGGGAAAGAGTCAAAACAATATTATTCAGGAAAGGAAAATGGAAAAAGCTTCCAGATGGAGGTGTTTTTTTTTTAATGTAGCATCAGAGATTCTAATCCGTAATGTGCTTTGGTAATCTATACCACAGGTAGAAATGATATGGGGCATGAGAATCAGAAATATATTCTGCAGTATCATTCTTTTCAGAATAAAGATGTTCAGTTCAAGTACATTTTTAAAAAGCCTGAATAACCTGTGCATGAGATTATTAGAAAACTATTATTGAATGAGTCCAAGGAATTAGTTTATCTTTAAATTGTGTCTTACATTTAATTCCTGTGGCACAAGGGAGAGTTAGAATGAGATGCAATCCCATTGCAGAAGATAATTAGAGAACTTGGTAAATTATACACAGTTGGTTTAGAACATTTTCATGAATCAAAACATTACAGGTAATCCTCAATTTACAACTGATTGTTTAATGACTATTCAAAGTTATGACAGCCTTGGAAAAAGTTACTTGCAACTTGTCGAACTACCTCCCCCCAGTCACATGATTGCATTTTGGGTCACTTGTTTGCAAGTTTTAACTTCCCACAATAACCTGATCTCATTTTGTGATATCTTTTGCAGTTTTCTGCAAAAAAATTCCAAAGAAAAGACCCTTCCCTCCAAAAAAAAAAAGACGTGGTACATGAAGTCCTTTGATTAATGTTATAATATGGCCTGTTATATGGTCTTTTGGAAGTAATCCATTTACACTTCCTGTAAGAGCTTTCTCTGCTTGAGGAGAAGAGATATGACCTTACTCCATCTGGACTCTGACTTTGACTTTTGACGCACTGCTTTTTCAGTTGCTACCATCATTGGCATGTGGTCTTCACAAGATATGTGTATGGTAATGCAGCCCTTGAGAAACAAAAGAAAATGTTTACTTCACATTACTTTAATTATTTCCTCCTCTCAGCAGCTCATCTGTTTATCTGAAATGGCCTAAATCCTCTATTCATCAAGATCATGGCCACCATCTTGATTTTTTTGACTCCTTTGCAGATGACCCTGGATGCCAGGTCCTCAAGGACTTTTCCTTCAATGTGTCTGAATAGCACTATCATAGTAATATATACCGTATTTATCGGCGTATAACACGCACAGGCGTATAACACGCATCTTCATTTTAAGAGGGAAATTTCAGGAAAAAAATTTAAATTTCTAAATAAAAACTTTGAAGCACCGCCCGGCCTCCGCTTGCCCTCCGCTCGCACCGCCCGGCCTCCGCTCGCACCGCCCGGCCTCCGCTTGCCCTCCGCTCGCACCGCCCGGCCTCCGCTTGCCCTCCGCTCGCACCGCCCAGCCTCCGCTTGCCCTCTGCTCGCACCGCCCGGCCTCCGCTCGCACCGCCCGGCCTCCACTTGCCCTCCGCTCGCACCGCCCGGCCTCCGCTTGCCCTCTGCTCGCACCGCCCGGCCTCCGCTGGCTTCTTAACATTATATCGGCGTATAACACGCATACATCATTTGCCCCCTATTTTCAGGGGGGAAAAAGTGCGTGTTATACGCCGATAAATACGGTAATTCCATAGGAGCTTTATGGATCACTTGCCAATATTTGGCAGAGCCTAAAAGAATTCTTGGTGTGTTATGTGTAATCTTATCTAACCATCCCACTATGCTAATTGTCCAAACTTCATTATGACAGAAAACCATAAAGAAATGTGTGGCTTTTCTAAAGTGGGCTAGTCACTCTTGTTATATGTTGTGATTAGTATGCAGCTTTATAGTTACATACATGATAAATATGACAATACTGCTGTGATAAACAAACACTTTTTAAAGAACAGTTTCTATTTACTAAGAATGAAAGGGAATAAAATAACTCCGCAACACAAAGTGTATTTATTGCATTTTAGTAAATTGAGTTTTCAGGGAGGTTATCATTCAGTTTGATTGCTGTTCTTCTTGCTCACATAAAAATCAACTGTGGATGTAACTTGTACCAATTAGTCAGAGAAATGGCTAGTGTTAAAACGTCTTGTTGCATTTGTAGTATAACGCTGGCGAAGAACTAACCAAAATACATTCACATAAGTATGGAATGCAAGAATATTACCACATTTGAATATATATATATATTATTAAATATTAGATTCTTCACAACCAGATATGGTCAGATACATACATTTTCCCCAGTCTAAGAGGAGGACATAAGGAATAACATTAAATCAGTGCATTTTCTGCTTGATGTGCAGTTCTGCAATGTAGTTTAAAAAAAGCCTCTTGTTGGGCTAAGTATGCTGCTGCTTCTTTTTACAGGACCATTAATCACTTATGAAAATGATGACTTTGGGGAGTGGAGAAATGAAAAAAAATGTTTTTGCTTTCTTTAAATGTCGGGTGCACTTTTTCTTTTCTTTTTTCTCCCCCTTCTTCAGAGAAAAATAAATCTTGAAAGTATGGCATGAATGGCACAATTTCCTGAATCATTCTAGAGCAACAGAAGCTGTAGGGAAGTTTTCTGGTTGCTTAAAATACAGTATATGAAACAAAGAAAAAGAAAATCCTCAGCAAGAACTTTTTATTTTTATGACAGGAAAACATTTCTTAAAATAAGAAAATGCTATATGTGGACTTGAGTACACGTAGTTTAAAAATGAACGTACCCCATTGAGTAGCAATTGAAGACAGAAAGCAGGAAACTCGCCTACTTCCTTTTCTCAGCCATAGGCTTTTATTTCTCAGGCTCTAAAAATGTCAACATTGCTAGTGTGGTTGGGTTTCACCCAAACCATTATTCAAACAGAAGGGCAACAGGCAGAGATTCAAGAGCACAGTTCTTGGATAAGCTGGTTTCTTACAGACATTAGAAAAGCCAGTGGAGGTAGTCCTTGACTGACAGTAGTTCATTTAATGACCGTTCAAAGTTACAGTAGCACTGGAAAAAGTGATTTATGACCGTTTTTCACACTTACAACCATTGTGGTATCTCCATGGTCACATGATCAAAATTCGGATACTTGGCAACTGTTTTACATTTATGACTGTTGCAATGTCCCATGGTCTGTGATCAAATCAACATCTTTAGAGTTCTCCTAAAAACCTAATTGGAGGTGTGTGGGGGGGGGAAGTGGGGGGAAAATGCCGTTTGGGATGTTAATGCTGTTAAAGTTGTCAGCCTCCATATTTGTTCAGTCCATCTACCTGTAAAATGAAAGCATATACAGGTAATCCTTGGCTTGCGACCACAGTTGGGACCAGATTTTCTATCACTAAGTGGTGCAGTCATAAAGCAAGATGCTATGCAACCACATTGCTAATGGCTGCATATAACGCAACAAAAACTTTGGGCTCAATCATAACTCGAAAACTACCTGTAGCTTAACTGGTTATAGGTGAAACTAATGCATCCTGGGAAGAACACCTGGCAAAAGAAATATGAAATAGAGCAGCTGCCTTCACTTTTGAGAATAACATATTGCTTGCTTGTGGATAGGTTTTCTTCATACAATAATAAAGAACTGTAGCAACAGTTGTGAATCACTCATTAGGCATAAGCAGATATTGGATCTCGTCTGCTGAGCACAATCTGTGATGTTTGGCTTATTATATTGGAGACACCTTTGAGAAGAGAATCAGTATAACTAAATATTGAATACAGTGGTTCCAGCTGGTCAGAATCTCAATTTTTTACTATTGTTTTCAGTAATTTTATTAAGAATTATGCTAAAGAGATAAAACTAACAAAGAAATCTAATACCTATGCAGCAGGGGTGTCAAACTCACGTCACGGCAGCATCACATGACATATTGGGACTTCCCTCCCTTTGCTAAACTGGGTGTGGGCGTGGCCAGTGCATGATGCATCTGGCCCAC